TAATCAAATGGGGTAGTTCCAACGGGAAATTCTTTTTTTTTGTTCTAGAATCTGTAGGGTGTCCCCTTAAAAGCCCATTGGAAGTCAAAATTTGAAAAAGTTTTTTTCCCATTGTTTTTGTAATTTAAAAAATTAAAAAATTAAATGCACTTTCTTTTGTATTAGAATGAAAGTTGAGTGAAAAAAATCACATTCTACAATTTTTAAATGTTTTCCACGATTTTGGACCAAAATAAGAATTTCCCGTTGGAAATAGTTCCGTTGGAACTATCCCATTTGATTAAATATTTATTTATATTTATTAAAAACGAGTGGGCCACCTTAAGATGTAGAGTAAAATTTTTTTTTTTGTTTTGAAAAATTTTCTTTTTTTATAAAGTACAAATTTCACCCCATGTTAAGAAAAAAAACAAACATTTTGTTTTCAACCCACCATAATAAGTAAGTCATGGAAAATAAATAATGGTGTGCAAATGTCAGAAACTGTCATTTTCATTTAAGATGTCTGCATAAAGTTATTGTAATGGAGCGTAATATAATATTATATATAATATATAATATTGGCTGTAATATTGATGATAGGCAGCGTGTACTATTTACAGACGAGTCCAGGTTTTGTTTATTCAGCTCTTATCGGCGAGTAAGGGTTCTCCGACGTCCAAATGAGAGATTTTCACAGTGAAACCACGATATTTATGGTCTCGTCATTTTTCGTAAGGTACCCCAGGTAGCACACTGACGTTTGCTGACGCTTATATGATGTCTCCTCAGCAGACGTCAGTGTGCTAAACAGCAAACGGAAAATTATAGAGGTGTATAGGATGACGCCACGTTTGAATATCGTTTTCTAAATCTCCCTACGGTATAGAGTTGTATTCGTCATTCGAGCGTTTCAATACTCTCCACAGTATAGAGGTCGTAACTTCACTTTTGAACTAGTATTAATATAAAAATTATTTTTTGCTTAAAAAAACTATATACGACATGATTGTGATTTTTTTCATTTTATTAATTAATTAAGCTGTGTTGAATATTTTTCCTAAAGGAATAATTGCCAATGGGCCATTAATTCATTTGTTCGTAGATGCTACAATAACCTGCACTGGTGTGTACTTTTTCATCAACCAGATTTAAATATTACAAAACTAACATATACCAGTGGAGATAGTGCAGGGTCTACCAACAGACCTAATTACTAAATTATTAAAGGTTTTTTCAACATAACCTCTGAAATTTTTAATACAAATATAGGTACTTTATATAATACATAAATATACTTAACATCATATCATCTGTGCTTTACATACCTGAGTTGTTACGGTAACTAAAAATCAGACAAAGGAACCAAAGAAAGGAACTATTTTCAACAAAATCATATGCAGAAAGGAGAAAATTCAAACTACTTGCATCCATCAAAAGATCAAAACTTCTTGCAATATTACACCCTCTTTTTATACTCTCAGAAATATTGACTAGAACAGTATTAGAGAGACTCCAGTTTCTATAACTTGGTAGAGTAAAGAGAAGTCGAAACCGTTGCGATATTGCATTGCGCTGTTTTTGTATAATTCTCGGGGACATTAACCAAAATCATTGCCAGTAAAATTCGAAAAGCTTGAGTTTCTATGTCTCTGAGGAGAATAGGAATCCGAAGTTGCTGCACCATTGGACTGAACCCTTTTTTAATAATTTCTAGAGACATAAATGACTGCACCATTCGACAGGGTCGAGTTTCTACTTCTCTGTTGAATATAGAAAATCAAAATAATGTATCTTGTAAGACACCATTGAGTTTGACTTTAAATATAGTCGTGCATAGGTATAGAGCCGAAAAATATAAAAACAAAGCACGATTCAATACAGTTATGATAAAACTTTAAGATTTGATATTTAAACGCGGAGTCATCCTATACACTTCTATAATTTTCCGTTTGCTGTGATACCTGGGACCATGAATAGTGTACGATATATCGAGGACATTTTATCTGAGCATGTTGTCCCTTTCGCCCGGTACATCGGTAATAATTTTTTACTGATGCAGGATAACGCAAGACCTCACACCGCCCTATAGTGATGGGCGTTCCGGATCCCTGGATCTATTTCACATAAGTGAACCGGTTCAGCGAACCGGTTCAAAAGAACCATTTGAATCTCAGATTAATTAAAAATAACACTTTATGAAATCATTCCAATTACATAAACTTTATGTAATGATATGAAGATATCATGATCCCTTGCCTGCCTCCCTTGATGACGTAGCAAATATGCTACTTACGAGAAATATGAAATGTGGTTGATCAAGGCGAGATTAGACATCTGGTTTTGAGCCGTAATTAGAAGTAGAGGCGGAAATACGCGATGTTGATATTCGTTAATGTTGGTTTTATTGATTTTGTTCATATGTTTATTGTTATTGTTTACATTTTTTTATTAAACTGGAGTTTTTTAATTTTTAACTGTATATTTCTTTTAAAAATAAACATATCGCGGTTTGATGTCAACATATTATATAACAAATTATCTACAATTTTTTTTTAAAGAAACAGTTTTATTATTCGTGCGTTTCGCGCGCCTGAAATGGCCCTATAGTAATTACTAATAAATGATTAATTTAAAACTTCTATATTTTCTAGTTAATTATTTTATTTACGGCCATTGTAAATGGGAAACTTGGGCAATATGTTCCGGCGGCACCCTCAACCTACCCCTAGAATTTGTGAGGCGTTCTGAGAAAATGATCCTAAGCATCCAAAATTTTATTTCTGTTTTTTATTATTATAGATTAAGCCGCTCTTTAATTATCTAAAGTCAGAAACAATTTTCCTTGAATATTTTGCATCTAACAACGTATTAAACATTATTCTTAAAACATCGGATTGTTTTTATGCGTAAAATACACCCTTAAAATTTTTCACTTTCCTCTAGGCTCACCTTGTATATACATGTATTTCTCAAAACCATATATTAATCTTCTTACAACCATTTCAATACAAATTTATTTTTAATGCAAAATAAACAAGTATTTTTTTGTCATAAATAATTTAAAAAAGTTGTTATTTAAAAATTGTGTGGATAGTATGGATTTTGAACAATTTAATTGCATTTTTTTTTCTAGAAAAGCCATTGGAAAATTGTGCACAACATGTACCCTCAAAAATGACTTACATGCGCACATTTTCCTCACTTCCCATTAAAATTATAAATCTTAAGTTTTCTTTAAATACATAACTTCATAAGGTTTTAGAATTAATTAAACTATTATTAAAAGCTTATATTGTAATATAATCTGACAGTCAAAATTCTTATGAGTATGATTATGAGTATGGGAACGTATGGCAGGCCCCAGATATATTGTCATCCACTGATCTCCCGGGGTTATATTACCCCCTTTCCGTTCTCCTGCGTATCCCGCCAAATCACAGCATTACCTGTGTTTGTTGGATCCGAAGTTTTTACGCCGGCTGGTAGATCCACCCTAGGAGTTCGTGGATGACAGTGTCAAAGGTTAAGGCCGCTCCCGGGATTTTTGTCAGCCGGGTCGGGCCATACGTCCAGTTTAGGAAGGGTTTTTGGAGGACATTGAACTGACCCAAAACTAAGTACAATCCGGAATCCTCCTAAACCAGGGCTTTAGTAATAACCCCATTCATTTGGTATTCCTGAATGGGGGTGGGTGGATTAGTATGCTGCTAGCGCCTTTCCTTGATGGTGTACTTCCTGATAGCCGCTTTAGAATTGATTGCCCCCCTGTGCGTTATTGAGTCTTATCTTCCGAACCGAAGTGTTGCCGGCCGCACCCCGCCGTAATATTGCCCTCTGACTATGTGGAAATACGTTTAACCTACTGGAATTGTCGACCCTCGAATTATTTTTTTCCCACTGTGCGTGATCCCAGTGATTCTTAGAACGATTATTACTTAATTTATGAACCCTTACGTCTTGGTAATCTATAGATGTAAACATAAATAAATAAATTTCTTTAGGATGGTTTCTTTTGCTTAATGTTTATCGTAACTTGAGTGATTAATGGCTTCTTATGTGCCCTTGGGTTTATGGCTTTTTTTACTGTTTCATTTGCATGAGAATCTTGGAAATTGTTTGCTACTAATTAATTTACCTGAAGAATTATTGTTAGTTAAAGGTTGTGAATTTCGTATTAACTAGTAATAATATTATTGGGTGGACATGGTCATGCAATTTGGTAGCTACTTATCTAGTTTATGCAGACTTGGGACTTCGTGATTTTTGCCATGCTGGTGTGCTTAGATTGATCCTTATCGCATGCCTCCCGCACGTGTGGTAAAATCAGTAGAACTGGCAACCCTGACTGGACATCTGACAACTTTCATAAAATACATCAAAAACTATGTTGGTTATACTACAAATTAGCACCGTTGCCACATAATAAATTTTATGCATACCTACTTGTGCGCAAATTTTTGCGAACACTTAACGAAAAACTTGAGAATACAACAGTATAATATCATTCGCAAGTTTTCCACCGCAACTATTCGCATTCGTAAGGTTGCGAATGAACTCAAGAATTGCACCCCAGGAAATTTTCATTGGAACTGATTGTCTCTCTCACACCTTTTAACCAGGTCAAACACTTAAGGACTTAGTCCAGGGGGAGGTACCACACACAATTTGCACTCATTTGCACTTGTGACAGTTATCACTTGTAGAATCGATATTGATTTATTTTTATTTTACGGCGTTAACCAGTTATCCCGTGTAAAATCGATATTGATTTGATATTTTTTTATTTTACGGCGCACTTTTCGCGTTTGTTCCACTTTTTGCACTTGTTTGTTTATTTATTAATTTATTACCGATTACCGGTATTTCCGCATACTTAGATTCGCTTTTGATACTTCAATACGTTTGTATCGTATACGCTGCTTAGGAGATGTCTTTGGACGTCCTTACACTTCAACAGTCAAAATTCTTAGTAGGAATAAACCTCATTTGTTTATTTTTTTATTTACGTGTAATTTTAGATTTTAGGCGAGCTACTTTTGACTGCAAAAACATTGGCTAAACAACGTTGTCCTGATGGGTACCGCTTGGTTATTAATAATGGAAAGCAGGGATGTCAGTCAGTATATCATCTACATATTCACATTATAGGAGGAAGGCAGTTAAACTGGCCACCAGGATAAATAAAAGTACTAAAATATAATTTTGACTGTATTATAAATTTGCATATACCTAAACAATATTAGTTTTATTAAAAAATTAAACTTAATTTAACTTGTGGTAGGTAGTTTACGTTATTGCTTAAAAAAATTTCATGATTTTTAGCGCAAAATTCGGGATTTTTGATTAAAACAAAATTCAACGTAAAATATTTTAAATTTGCCCAATATGCAAATAATTAATAAATAATGTTTAATTTGCATAATTGTAGAAAATAATTAGATTGTTTTATTAAACATTTAATTCTGAATTTCTTAACTTTATTTAACAGCTTACATTTATACTACAATTTAATTTTTAAATGCCCTAAAAAATGACCCTAAATATATATTAAATATAATTTGGACAAAATTGATATCTTTCAGCGCGCGTTTTTCCCGAACAACGTTGTTTTAGAAATCCCAATTCAAGGAAGCAATAGTTCGGTGCATTCCATTTTCCCAGTAAAAATGTTTGAAATTACCTAAAATTTTAGTTTGAATGAAACTGGCGGACAAGCTACACGGTGTTTATCAGCAAATTTCCGTATAAGCTATAGCTATAATTATAACTTTAAACACGATTTGAATCCGAAGTTATGTTTAATGCACACGCGTATTGTGTTTATTATTTTACAAACGAATTTGTATTGTTTTTTTATGGGAATTTTTTGAAGATTGATTTTTTCCATGCAAGTGCTAAATTTAAGTTGAAAAAAACAAAACTCAGTATTTTATTAATCTTAAAATTCATTGATGATTTTTCACAAACTCGAAGGTAAGTTGTTAAGAAATTTAAATAAATCGTTTTATATATAGGCCGGTATATCGTTTTTATACGGGGTGCTCCAAGTATGTATCTTTCTATGTATGGACATCTCATCTTTTATTTGAAGAGCTACAAGGTCGATTAAATACGAGAAAAGTTGCGTAATTATAAGTAATTAAAATGGTATTTAAAAATTAAAAACAAAATCAGCGGTTCTCAAATAATTTAAAAAAAAACTAAACACCTGTTAAAACCAAAATTCGTTACAAGGTAAGATAGAAAAAAAATCAAAGAATCCAACGATGCATCGCGATGTCTTTAAATAGTAAGCGAAAAAAAAATTAAATGCCATTTTAATAGACTAGTCTATTAAGCTTGTAATTATAATTATGGCGGCCATTATAAAAACAAAAGATGGTGATGGTAACTTAAAATATAAGTCGTTTTTTCGCGTAAATACCATGAAATACTATGGTCATTAAACTTAACCTTGGTTAATAGTTAAGGCATTTTTGCGTTTAGAGTGCGTTCAAAAATCCTAACTATGACGTCACAAATACCAGACCATAAAACTATATCGCTGAGCTGGTTATTCAACGTGGTTAATAGTCTTTCTCTTTTTAATATACATATATATTTAATATGTTTATGTAGGAATAATGTTGTGTGCTAAACATATCTTCTCCAAAACATACCGCCAACCTTCGTCTTTTTCTTTGGGGTTCCATTCTAAATTTTGAGTTTCACAATAATAATTTTCGTATAAACGTTAAACACTGTTGGATTTTAATTATGGTAAACAACAGTGAAGAACTGTTTATATATAAAAAGAGGTATAGAAAAGGTAGGTTTAAGAACTAGGGTTCATAGAAAAAGAATATACCTACAAGGTAAAAGAAGAGGCAAATAAATTTATTTACACCTGTAAAAGCATAGAAATTAAATATAAATAGGTAAAAACACATTTTAAAAATTATAGGTTATGAACAAGTAAACAAATGTCAAATGTTAGAAACCTAACCATGGTTATATGAATTAACTGTGACGTCATGACTTATTTAACCGTAGTATTTCATAGTATTTACGCGAAAAAACGACTATAGTAGCGAAGAAATTGGATAAAAATATTAAAGTTAAAACGATTTTTGTTATTGACAGGGTTTTAGTTTTATTTTAATATTTTATAAAATATATAAGGACCGCTGTTTTTTGTTGATTTATAAATTTAATTTTAGAGACGTGTTATCACCCAAATTTTCTCTAGCAACCACAGCTGTAGGCAAAGTTCCCTTTTCGTTACATGGGCTTTCAACACGGTATATACTGTCCCTATTGTATATGACCAATGGAATCCAATAAAAAATAAGTAATTGGTTTGAAATGTGTTTTGGCGCTATGAATCACCCATTCATTCCAGTTGAATTCCTATTGGTAATTTCCAATAAAGTCAGCGGCTTGGATTGGGAAATACCAATCCATGCCTATGCTTGTCTCTATTGGCTAAATCCAATATAAATGCAAATGGAATGAATTGGTAATTCATAGCGCCAACCCACACGGAACAATTACATCCAATGGATATCCAATGGATTTCTTTTATGGATATCCAGGATATACATAGGATATCCGGGATATCCAATGGATAACCATTGGATATATAAATGTCCGACCCTCCTGGACATAGTGTGGATATCCAATGGATACCCAGCTGGGTATCCATTGGATATCCACTAGTGGATATAGTATTGTATGCAATATGGTTGTAATCTGTATTCAATATGGAGATTGTATGGATATCCAATGGATAACCATTGGATATATAAATGTCCGACCCTCCTGGACATAGTGTGGATATCCAATGGATACCCAGTGGATATAGTATTGACAATACTGTATTGTATGCAATATGGTTGTCATCTGTATTGGATATGGTGAATCAATGGATATTTACTTTTCAATAAATAACATTGGGTTTTAAAATAAAAGTCTTATTCTTTAATTTAAATATTTATTTTTATGAAAACATAAAATAGAACAGAAAACTACATATAACTAAAGAAGTGAAGTCTCTGGCTTGCCATCACTCCTCCAGCTGCCATTTGCCTTTTTATCAGCCTAATCATTTAGGGCCTATTTCACCTGTCTCCTTATGATCCCCAAAATTTGACCAATCCATCAGCCCATTTGTTACCCTCGAGCCTATGTAGGTATAGCTTGCAAATAAAGGTACGGTATATAAATGCATGCATGTACCTATTCACCTTTAATGTTTTACCTTCAATGCTAACCGAAAGTTTATAAATTGCACTTAAATATAGGTACCTATTTAATTTAAAATTGTATTAGTTTTAGACCAATACAATTTAAAATGGTAACTATGATTAGAAAATTAATAAAATATTCACTTACCACTATAGACCTCAAACAAATAACCACAAAAACAATAACTTGGCAATAAACTTTATGAAAAACATATAACAAATAGCAATGATGGCGAATGAACCTTTACAATCTGTGGAATAAAGCAAATAAACATGAAAACCCTTTGCATGTACCTAACAATCATGGCATCATATTTAACGGACGCTACCATAGAAAAAGGACGCTTCTTTATCTTCTGTGTTCGCCGGCAGTGTTGTCAGACGTTTAAATAATTTCAGAAAGCTCATCAAAATGGCGGTTATATTATTAAATCTTTAATACTTAATTAATTAGTATACCTAGTATACCTATTTGATATAAATGTGGTGAATAATTATTTTAAATTTATTTAATTTATTTATTAAAACTTAATAAAGTACGGAAATATATTTCGTTTAGTTATTTTGCTTATAACCGGCACAGATTATAAAGGTTATAACCGGCAACACTGAAGATTCTCAAATTCAGCGCGTGCGTAGTACTATGAAATACAATAATAAACAAAAGGGACTTTTTTAAGTAATTTTTTATTGTATTGCAGACTGTCATAGTCATATTATTAACAGAAATAATATTATTAATATATAAATATTATTATCTGGGTAAAGTGAACATTTCAAAATTAAAAATTTCGTAGCTCTTGGCAAAAAATCAATTTACCGTAAAGTTGTTTTTTTTACATATGCTAGTTTAAACCATCACAAAATTCCACATGTATACATACAAGTATATATACAAGATATCCATATCAGTTATCCATCGGATATCCAGTGGATATCCAGTGGATATACATTAGATGTACAGTGGATATACTTTGGACATACATTAGTTATCCATTGGATATATATTAGAGATACTTTGTTGAAATTGGGTTAATAACGATTTAAATCATATTTATTAATCATTACATAAATTTATCCTAAAAGGGGCTATTTTAAAAAAGAAAAAAAATATTTTTAATGTTTTTGTTTTTTTTTGAACATCTAATATGGATGTTATATGGACATTGGGATAGCCATTGGATATCCATTGGATAGCGTGTTCTGTGTGGGAAACCCATTCCAACCAATTAAAACCAATTAATGTTTTAAAATTTGGATTAGAAAATACCTACCAGTTTATTTTTCATTCAAAAATAAAAACTAGAATTTATTTTTCATAGAAGAGACAAAAAATTTATTGTTACTGAATAAATTTAATTCTTTATTTTTTTTGTGATATATGTATGTACATATAACATATAACTCACAAAAAAAGTACCTAATAAAAAATAAATAAAATTACTCGGTTAAAATCATTAAAACCAATTAATGTTTTAAAATTTGGATTAGAAAATACCTACCAGTTTATTTTTCATTCAAAAATAAAAACTAGAATTTATTTTTCATAGAAGAGACAAAAAATTTATTGTTACTGAATAAATTTAATTCTTTATTTTTTTTTGTGATATATGTATGTACATATAACTCACAAAAAAAGTACCTAATAAAAAATAAATAAAATTACTCGGTTATAATCATTTTTTGTCTTTCTTGCAAAGGATGTTTGTAGGACGGTTGTGGTCGAAGTCGATATTGTTTATGTCAAATTTTTTTATTTTGTACGCTATGACAACCATCGTCCACCTTACACATATAAACATTTTATTTAATATATAAGTACACGTAGTATACTACCTATAGGTACTAGATTGGGCCAAAAAAACAACTATTTTTTTTTTTGAAAAATATATCGAAAATATGGAAATTCTTGTCAAATTTAACCTTGAATAACTTTTGATGGAGTGAATTTCAAAAATGTTAGAAGACTTTTTTTGTAGAGCATTTGATTTCCCATGAGAATATTCATCG